TGTGGTTTCGTAATGCACTTTTGTAATATCAAGAATTGGATTGGAACAGTATTTGTTAATGACTGACCTTGAACGACATCCATATGTTAAATGAATTGATATGTTAATTATAAACAACACATTGCTTTGAAGAGAATAGATTCACAGCTGCCTCACATGTAAAAGGCACAAATTGCAACATACCTCGTCATCGTCATGAGAATATGCTCAGGCAGCGTGAGGTGTCGTTTTATCTCTAACATGGTTTGCAGTGCTAGGTGTAAAGGAAGAAGGGCTCGAGCTCTCTCCTCCGGTGTTGCATTAACTTTCGGCCTCGAATCCAAATCCGTATCATCTGTCATGAATCCAGCAGTGATATAAGCTTGAACCATGTCCCTAAAACAAGATTATGTGAATGAAATAACAAAACATCGTTCACTTTATGCAAAGGTCTACTATATAATCAACAGAAAAAAGGCTTATTGAGGCTAATCAAAGATTTATATGAACATCACTGAGTGACTAACAGTGTCACAAAGATAGATACCGATTTTACAGAATGCCGCAGAAAGCAGACCGCATAGTGCGCAACAATTGAAGCTGGGGCCAAAATCAGTTTATCTCTCCTCCATTTAAAATAGAAGACAAGCTCACCCCTCCTAGGAGTGACTAAAAAGGTGATGAAAAGCTGAGCTTCATACATCAAACTCTCTTGTAGAAGATTATGCAACAAAAGGAGGTTGTGATATCGTCCTCTAGAATTTTAAGTTTTCAATCTCATTCATCAGGATATAGACTTAACCCTTGTTCCCAGCAGTGAAGCTTCATATTGAAAAGAGCCTTTCATTTGAATGTCTAGCAAAATTGTTTCGATAGAATATGCTGAAATAAGTCTCGCTTCTGCATGCATGTATGTAAAGAGAAAGGAATGAATAAGTTTTATATTTCTGGGAGATTCTTCGTCATTTGGCTATGGATTTGTAGGTGTTTAACTTCATTTGAAGTTTATGAAGGATGGGTGAACATATTATGAGGAATATGTATAGTATAGTAAAATCTTGGAAGATGTATGTCAAGTATAGTAAAATCTTGGAAGAGCGCCGAAAAGCAGACTAAACATCGCAGTGCGTTCATTGTTACCTATCCTTGCAAAACTATTCTTCTCCAAAGCTCGGAAATTTAGAGGCGAAGGAGGCGGAATTCTACACAGACGGTTACTGTCGTGCATACTTCTTAATGAAGAAGGGGAGCAAATTTATTTAAAACAGGTCTTCTGGGACTAAAACTCTCTGCTTAGATTTTTTTAGCAGGTATCGTCTTAGTCCGTAATATCCCGTAAATTGATTCGCTTTCAAAATGAAACTTATAAGTTGGTTTCCTAAGATGTAGCACATTTAATGTCAATAGATGAATTAAAGACGTGTTATTTGAGGGGGCGCACAGAACCGATGAGTAGGTAGGTGAAAAGGGGCAGTAAGCTTAGTTATCAGTAGCGAAACAGAGAAGACAAAGAACTTTCCCCAACCAGCCTTGTCGATGGCGGGGAGAGAGAAAGGGGAGCTCCCGCCCCAACAAGGCTGGTTGTCAAGAACGCCAATAAGGGGCGTAGCTTCACCCCATGCCACATCTCTTTTTCATCTCGCGCTCCCTAGATATAATCTCTAAGATGAAAAATCAGTATTTGATTAATTGGGTTATACATCTCCCCTCCACTCCCCCGCCCCCTCCTCCTCATCCCTGCGTGCACTTTTCCTTTGAGGACGTAGGAAACTTAGCTCAACCTTCACCCAAATAAGCCTATTTCATGTTGTAGAAATCCTTACATAAGCTGGAGTTCTGTGTAGCAATGGTAGATATATCAGACGGAAAGGTTGAGCGTGGAGTGCAAAGAGGGCGTTTAGCTTTCGAAAAAGTTGTGATCCAAAAGTAGTTCAAGTCAACCTGTAAATGCTTAACCTTGAAGAGGAGCATCCTAGCGAGAAGTGCAACAGTGAAGAAAAATGCATGTCTGCCTTTCTTCTTTACAGAACCTACTCTTTAGCAACGCCGGTATTGCCGACATAGAAGTTTGCCAATGACTAGATATACGGCAGCGAAATTCAATTCGGCAATTCATTACAAGGTAACTAACGCAATAAAATGCGTAACAATCGACGTAAGCCGTTAGGTTTTTGGAGATGTTCGGTCTTTCCCGTTTGTTTATGATCTCCTATTTACATCCGATAAAGCAAATTCATTCTCCCTTTAATTTCCCTAGGCATGTTCTTTTTGTTCGTCGTTTCGTAGAAGCTTTTGAATGGTTATCTCGATGTAGTCAGTACCTTGATTCCTCTCTTGACATAGTCAATTCTGACATAAGATAACAAAACGGTTTGAGGCACGAAGGTTGAGGCATATATATATATATATATATATATATATATA